CAAAAACGGCGGTTGACGAGAAACGGCTGAAAATTCAAACGCAAACACAACATTTCCCTCCACTAAAATCGATACCTGCTAGAGCAATCGATTGTAGAACGGCGCAGTGATTGTTTGTTTTCGTACTGAAGGGCCTTTAAGTAGAAGGTTCGCGTAACTTCTTTGGCCATCATCCATCATTTTTCTCTTCAAAGAGTTAAGTCTCGCAAGTGACACACACTTTACTTTGAAGCACACTGATTTTCTGTCATCTGACGCAACACACCCTACCACAATTCACTTCGAAATTCTCTAAAGTGTGCAGACAAAACCGCATCGCACCTGCATTGCATCATTCACTCAGCTCCTCTGCTGTAAGGTACAAGTGTCAACAAAGCAAAAGAAAAGAAAACACACAACGATGTCCATCTTTCTGCGAAGTCCACTCCTGGTGAGCTGTCTGAAGACTCGCCAGGCGGCCACTCTCCTGACCGGTCCTGCGCCCCGTCAGACACTCCTCAACAATGTCCGCCTCTTCGGCAACAACAGCGGCGCCCGCGGCACTGGCCGCGGCGCGGGCCGTGTCTACGCGAAGCAGTCGATTGAGGTGAAGCAGTCGCCCACTCGATCGCTGAAGGAGATCCTCATGCAGCCCACGGCGGGAACTCCATTCGCCCTTGGCTCGGGTGCCGTGGCCGGCGCCTCCCTCCTCGGCATCGGCGCACTCTGCTACTACGGACTGGGGCTGAGCAAGACTGGTGGAACGTATGAAAATTCTTTGTAAGTTTACTGTTTTTGTTGTGTTGATTCAGCTGGTGCTAATCCATCTCCACTTTTCTTCACTTTCCTTCAGCGCCTGGCCGGAATATGTTCGCGATCGCGTCAAGGCCACCTACTTCTACTTTGGCTCTGGGCTGGGCATTACCGCTGCCTCCGCCGTGGCCGCCTTCCGCAGCCCCCGAATGATGAACCTCATGACCCGAAACTCATTTGGGGTAAGTTTGTTGGTGGTGGTGTTCAAGCAATCAATCCTTAACCCGCTTTCTAACCATTCCCTTCATCTTTCTTTTCCTCAGGCAATTCTCCTGACGATTGGCGCCATGATTGGCACCTCAATGATCGCCCAGTCGATTCCGTACAAGGAGGGCATCGGCGCGAAGCAGCTGGCCTGGGCGGTGCACTGCGGCGTCGNTGAACCTCATGACCCGAAACTCATTTGGGGTAAGTTTGTTGGTGGTGGTGTTCAAGCAATCAATCCTTAACCCGCTTTCTAACCATTCCCTTCATCTTTCTTTTCCTCAGGCAATTCTCCTGACGATTGGCGCCATGATTGGCACCTCAATGATCGCCCAGTCGATTCCGTACAAGGAGGGCATCGGCGCGAAGCAGCTGGCCTGGGCGGTGCACTGCGGCGTCGTTGGAGCCGTCATTGCGCCGATGTGCATCTTCGGCGGCCCCATTCTCCTTCGTGCGGCCATGTACACTGCCGGCATTGCCGGCGGCCTGTCGGCGATCGCCTACTGCGCCCCTAATGACAAGTTCCTCTACATGGGCGGTCCGCTGGCCATCGGCCTGGGCGCTGTCTTTGCAGCCTCGATGGGTAAGAAGCCTGTGTTTTTGTTTACATTCACCCATACAACTTCAATTCTTTCGCCCAACAGGAGCCATGTTTCTGCCGGCCACCAGCGCCCTGGGCGCCTCCCTCTACTCGATCAGCCTCTACGGAGGACTGCTCCTCTTCAGCGCCTTTCTCCTCTACGACACGCAGCGCGTCGTTCGCAAGGCGGAGACGCATCCCTACTACAGCATGGTGCCCTATGACCCCGTCAATGCGTAAGTCTGCTGAATCATCAGAGCAAACCCCTTATCTAATCTCCCCTCC